TGGTGAAGATTGGAAGAGGACGATGGGAATTGCAGTACCTTCAATCACTTCCAAAGACCACTGAAACCCTCATGAATGACAGTCCCGGACCACACTTGGCACACAGACCCCCCCCCCCCACTTTACATCCTGGTGTGGTTTGGGGGAGGATGGACCATGGATGATAGGATTTACAGTACCTTCACCCAATTCAGCTCCCACAGACTTCTGCAACCCTCATGAATGACAGCTTTGGACCAAATTTGGTACAAGACCCCCCCCCTCCCATGACCCACTTTATGTCCTGGTGTGTTTTGGAGGAGGACGGACCATGGATGATGAGATTTGCAGTACCTTCACTCACTCCCAGAGACCACTGCGACCTGGATCAAACTTGGCACACAGACTCCCCATGACCAACAAAGCACACTGGAAAGTTTTCGGGACATTGACCTTGATTTATGGGAGTTATAGTTCACCTGCAACCAGAGAAACTGCAACCCCCACAGACAATTGATTGGGACTAAACTTGGCACAGAGAAGCCCCATCACCAACTGAACAAATTGCAGAGGTTTCTGGAAATTGACCTTGATTTTCGGAGTTGTTGTTCACCTACATCCAGAAAAAGTGTGACCCCCACCAACAATGGACAGGGACCGAACTTGGCACAGAGAAGCCCAATGACCAACTGAACATACTGCAGGGGTTTCTGGGAATTGACCTTGATTTTGGGAGTTGTAGTTCACCTGCATCCAGTGAAACTGTGACACCCCCACCCACCCACTGACAATGGTCTTTTTAAAAAATCCATTGCCCTTTTCCCTAAATTAAAACTACCCCTCAACTCTCAGGAGTAATCCTACACCCGTCCAGATTCCTGCATGCTTCTCTGACATACCAGTGTCGCAGTGCAGTCTATATCACCAAGAAAGCGTGAGGCAATTCTGTAACAGAAAGAACACTGCTAGTGTTACTAGGATGGGTCTCTCTCTCTCAACTCCAAACTCTCCCACTATGACACACTGTCTCCCTGCTCCACTCCACATGCCAGAGGCATGGGGCCATGTCAATTTTTTCCCTAAATTACAACTACCTCTCAACTCTCAGGAGTAACCCTATGGCATTTTTAAAGTTTCTTCAGAATTTGATATATCACTGTCTTTATCAGATGCACAATGGTCTGTTTTATTTTCAACTGCTTCAAACCCAGGTTATTGATCCCCAACACCGAGGGGTTCAGGGGAGCTGTCTAGTCATGCCTGGTTTGATAAAAAGGTGGAGTTAATGAAACTCTTATCACTAAAACTCTGCTCCCATCATCAAATGAACCAGCCAGACAGCATTTCCAGGCATCCTCTTGCACCAGTTTCCCAATGGGCCAGCCAGGCTGAATACTTATACCCTGTGGTCATGGGTAAGCTTTCTTTTCTTTTCTTTTCTTTTCTTTTCTTTTCTTTTCTTTTCATGTCGCTTCTGGTGTAAGAGAATTGTCCGTCTGCAAGGATGTTGCCCAGGAGGATGCCCGGATGTTTTGATGTTTTACTATCCTTGTGGGAGGCTACTCTCTTGTGCCCGCAGGGGAAGCTGGAGCTGACAGAGGGGGCTCATCCATGCTCTCCCAGGATTCAAACCTCCGACCTGTCGGGCTTCAGACCTGCCAGCAGGAGGGTTTAACCCATTGTGCCACTGGGGCTCCTGAGACGCCTAGTGAGAACAACTTTCAGGAGTCTCTATACAGTCTGCTTCCTGTGAAACTTGGCCGCTCTCCTTGGATTCGAACCCCTGATCTGTTGGTCTTTAGTCCTGCCAGCACAAAGGTTTGATCCATTACAGCACCAGGGGCTCCAGGTGCCAGCTTATAATATGGCTGTGTTGATTGGCTCTTTGCGTCAGCCAATCTCTAGTTAACCACTAACCACTGCCAGCCACCAACCAGCCTACAGCCACTGCCAGTCTCCCCAGCCTGCCTCCTCCACCAGTCTCCTGATGGGCCAGCCAGGCTGTGTACTTGTATCCTGTGGCAATGGCTAAGGTACCAACTGATAGCATGCTCATGTCCAATGACTCTTTGCTCTTGCCAGATTCCAGCCACTGCCAGCATCTCCAGCCAGCCTTCTCCACTAGTCTTTTGATGGGCCAGCCAGGCTGTGTATTTGTACCCTGTGGCCATGGGCAAGGTGCCACTTTATAACATGGCCATGTCTGGTGACTCTTTGCTCCAGCCAGCTTCCAGTTACTGTCAGCTACCAGCCAGCTACCTCCAGCCACCACCAACCTCTCCAGCCAGCCTCCTCCACCAGTCTCCCAGTTGGCCATCTGGGCTGTATTCTTGTACCCCTTGGCCATGGGTAAGATGCCAGCTTATAGTATGGTAGTGTTTGGCAATTCTTTGCTTCAGCCAGCCTCCAACCACTGCCAATCTCCAGCCAGCCTCCAGCCATTGCCAGACACTCTAGCCACTGCCAACTTCCTCCACCAGTGTCCTGATGGGTCAGTCAGGCTGTGTACTTGTACCTTTGGCCATGGGTAAGGTGCCAGCTTATAGCATGGTTGTGTGCGGTGACTCTTTGCTCCAGTCAGCCTCCAGCCACTGCCAGCCTCCTCCACCAGTCTCCTGATGGGCCAGCCAGGCTGCGTACTTGTACCCTTTGGCCATGGGTAAGATGCTCCCGTCTTCACATCTTGTAGGTCCTGAAGTGGAGGTGAATATCTGGTAGACCACAAACTGAGAATTGCCACCACTTTGCTCCAGCCAGGCTCTAGCTACTGCCAGCCTTGAATCATGCAGCCTTCTGAATCGGTGCAGATAACCAGCTCTGCAGTATTGGTGGAAGCATTCTCTCCCATTCGACATTGAAAATAAATTTTAAATATTAATTCCTGAAAAGCATTTTATTAAAATGGACATGACTAGTAGCTGTCAATGAAGTAGCTTCAAACATGACTCTATTTCCCACAAGGATAAATAACTTTTTTTAGTTGGTTTTCTATGAACCCTACCACAGTTTTTCTTTTATGGGACAGGCTGCTTGTGGGTGATGGCATCATATGATGACAATGACAACTGTGTAGAAAATACAAAGGCTAGAGTAGGAGCACTACAGTATTGTTTACTGTACACTACAATACTACAGTATTGTTTTTATTTGTATTTTTTTAAAAAAATCTTTAAAATCTGTGGATGAACAGATTTTTCTGAAACTTGACAGGAATGGTGCCCTGCTCTTGTTCTGTCGCTATGGAGAAATTCCAGGGGATACCTATTTTATTTTGCTTTTTAGAGACATTTTATTTGTAGAAAATTTCTAAAATTTAGTGGATGACCTAAACATTCTGAAACTTGGCAGGCTTGCAGTCTTAAATGTGGCCTATAAATGTGGCAAGTTAGGTCCCAATAGTAAAAAAAAAATGATGGAGAGACGAGCTTCTAAAGTGCCCTCATTGGTGCGAATGAACCTAATTTTCCCGAAATGAAAATGGAACCCGATCCTGAATTACGGATACAAAAAAACCCTCCCAGATTTCCCGATTTTTCCCGTAACACAATGGGGGCATCTGAAAATTAAACCAAAAACAGTATGGATTGCTGCCATTTTGCACACCCCTAGTGGTCAGGCTTTCAGACAGTACGGCCAATCCAGCAAAGTTTATGGTGAAGGATCATCGCTACAATGCTGGTGGTCTTTGCTTTTTACAGAAAGCTGACATTTGTCCACCTGTCTTCTCAAATTTGCAGGATTTCTCAGAGGCAACACTTATGGTATCGTTCCACAAATTGAGAGTGACATTTGTAAACAATCCACATATCACAGGTACATAGCAGGGTTGGGAGGACAATAGCTTTACAAACAAGCATCTTGATATCCGTACAAATGTCCCAATCCTCAAACACTCTCTGCTTCATTCAAAAGAATGCTGCACTTGCAGAGCTCAGTGTTGTACTTTGGTGTTGGATGTTGACTTTTGTGAAAAGGTGTCTCTAAATGGACACAGAGCTAAGGTGCTGCAGTGCTTCAGTACTGCCACAAGAGGGCACTCTGGTTCATAGCATCAGATTAGATGGCCTTGAAGTTCCTTTCTGCATTTCTATTCCCTGTCACAAGGGCAACCTGGTACAAAAGGCATGCATTTTTATGGACACAGATTAAAATTGGGCTTTTTAATAGGCAGAGATAAGGCACTGCACTGTAGCTATATTGACACATGACGGCAGCCTGGAAAATTAGATCAGGTTGCAAAAAGACAAACTGGCACAAAAACTGTGCTTTCAAAAGTTTTACAAACTGTGTATGCAAACATGTCTGAACCAAGGGATTGGAAACAAACTTATCTTCAGGCTAAGAAAAAGCAAAACATAGTACAGGAAATGCAGGAGGCCTCTCCAGAGAATGGGACTTTTGAGAGTATGTAGACCTGGGCTCTGTTTAAGCTTTCAAGCTTTGTTCAGACAAGTAGACAAAGCTTATGTAAAATGTACGATAAACTATTTAGATGAGAGGAATACATTAAACCTAAACAGATAATTTTATATTAATGTAATAAGAGAAGAATATAAAGAATTTCTTGGGATAAACAAACTCAGAATAATGGGAGAACAAAAATAAAAAATAAAGACTTTCTATGTGGGGGATGGATAGTTCAAATAAGAATAAACATTAAGATTTTTTTTATTATTTATGTGTATTAACAGTACAGTGTTCCCTTGCTACTTCGCGGTTCACTTATTGCAGACTCGCTGTTTTGCGGATTTCAAAAAATATTAATTTTAAATATAGATCATGGTATTTTAGCTGTTTTGTGGGGTTTTGCCGCTGCCACTCTCCAAGGTGCTTTCCCTCCTCAGTCCTCCCTCTAACCTTGAAGGGCCTTTCCTTCCTTTCCTTCACTTTAATTTAAGTTTATTTTAATATTTATACATTATTTTAGTAGTTATACACTATTTTAAGTCTTTATAGACTTAAAATAGTGTATAACTACTAAAATAATGTATGAATATTAAAATAAATAGAGCATCCCTACATTGCGGCTTTTCACTTATTGCGGGAGGTCCTGGAACCTAACCCCAGCAATAAGTGAGGGAACACTGTACATCTCTTCCAGGACTCTTAGGACAAAATCTTCTTAAAAGCACTAAAACAATTCAGAAGCAAAACACTTTTCAAAAAGTTTAATCATTATATTTTTACCATTACAATTTAAAGAACAGGCCTGTGAGATACGTTTGACTGTTTTAAGGTGAGATTTTGAGGGAGGCTTCAGAAAATATGGAAAAGAATGGGAGGACAGTCTCTGTGGAGAATGGGACTTCTGAGAATGCATGGATCTGGTCTCCTGTATCAGCATCGTAAAAGGCCACCCGGTTTGCAGCACAGTTCAGACAGACTCGGACCCTCCTGACCTTTTCCCTCAGAGACAGAGCAGAGATTGAAGGGATCCTGGGAGCATGAAACCTAAATGACAAGCTGGAGATGGCCCAGATCCCATCAGAAGGATTAATGAGAAAACAGTGTTTTCTCCTGACAGACTTCCTGGCCACCCCCACAAACCAGTGTCCCTTCCCTTCTGCAACCACATCCCAGAAATGGCTTCCTCTAGTGAATCCCTCACATCCCAAAACATGAGTTGAGTTTCTAAATCTCTCAGGATTGTCAGGCAGATTTTGATCTTTGCCTTCATGTCTCACACTTTTACGATCCTCAGACAGAACAAGATAGGAACCCGCTGTGTCTGGATCCAGAGTGACATTTGCTGTTGGAGACAAAGAGAGGGAGATGAAGGAGAGCAAAGAGAAGCATGTTATAACTTACACAGCCTTTATGACTCCATGAGGACCCTTACTTATGTCCTCTTAATTTGAATAAAACATGTGTGCTGGCATGGAGCACTGAAATCGCAGCAGGAATGAAAAATAATCAAAATATTAATTGCAACCAGCTGGAGATTTGAAAAGCTTCCTAGCCAGCCACCCGCTGGGACAAAGGTAAATTCATCAAGCTAAAGACATTGCTAACCCATCAAGCAACTTTGCCAGTGCCTGGTGGGAAAACAACCTGGAACTCAAACATAAAACTATTTCTATATTCCTTTCTTTGTATCTACTCATGTTTCCTTGATTGCCCATTGTGTGTGCCCCACTTTGCAATTGCATAATCTCCTCTGACCACTTAATCCTATCTTGTGGCTTTTCACATTATCATATTTGCATGACTAATGTCCAGTCCTCCTCTTGTGGTGGACCCTTAACCTGGGCAGTACTTTCAACCTACCCAATGACTGGTATTTCTTTTTGCCACCTCATGAAAACACACCAGCCCATTGTGATGTTTGAATGTGATTTTCCTGCTTCTTAGCAGGGGGTTGGACTGGATGGCCCATGAGGTCTCTTCCAACTCTATAATTCTAAGATTCTAAGGAATCCCCAGCCAACAGGAACTCGAACCGAAGCCAGATTGATTTTCAGTGAATCAGGAATTGGCGTGGATCTTTTCAGTAGATGTCAAAGAGAGCAAAACTTCCTATCTTTCCCCGTATGCTTTATGTCAGATTCTTTAGAGCTCTTTTACTGACATCCTTTTGGGCCTGAAAGTAATAAACTTCTGTTCCTTTTACCTTCACACCCAGTTTCCATGTTAATATTATTGGTAAAGGTAGTGAAGCTCTTGAGGAAGGTAGCTTGACTTCAGCTACATTATAGCTGCAAGCATTAAAAAAAACATTTAGAGTAGAAAATATTATACTTCGAACCATAGGATCCCCTCTGCAAATTAAACCAGTTCATCCATGAAATCACAACCAAAACCACACAAACAAATGGAATGGGTGGCCATGGAGGGGATAGGAAAATTGTTTACCATATATACTTGAATATAAGCCGAATTTTTCAGCCCTTTTTAGGGGCTGAAAAATCTGCCCTCGGCTTATATTCGAGCCAAGCAGCAGCGGGCTCCATTTGGGGTACAAACAAATTATTATTATTACTATTATTCTTAAGTTATTGTTGTGACCATGTTGTTTTTGTTGACTCTCCTTTTCTACTTATAGTGCTAGTTTACTGTTTTTCTTTGAAATACAGTAAATATTCAAAAACATTTAATCTACTGATGCCTCAATTAATGTAATTTTATTGGTATCTATTTTTATTTTTGAAATTTACCATTAGCTGCTTCGTTTTCCACCCCTGGCTTATACTCGAATCAATAATTTTTCTCAATTTCTTGTAAAATTAGGTGCCTTGGCTTATATTCGGGTTGGCTTATACTCGAGTATATACGGTAACTCAGGAAAATACCACCAGACAAACATCACCATCCTGCTTGTGACTGTTATCAAAAATGGGAAATTTACCTTTCTGAAGCTCTAGCCCAGGTAGCAAAGTATCTAAGGAGGCAAATAAAATAAATTAAAATAAATATATGACTAAGCACTACATCATCTTCTTCAGAAAAAAACAGTTCACATAGTAGAGATCTCAAGTAAAGTTTTAAATAGAAACTAAAATGAATACTAGTTTGTTATACTGAAAGAACACCCAATGTTTGAGTAAGCAGGCCTTCTTCTCTCTTTTCTTGTCTAGAACATGATTATTTCTTCCTCAATAAGGTTTTATTTTACATGCTTAACAATCCCAGCTTAAATTAAGCAGGCCAAGATTTTTTTTTCTGATACAGTCATTATGTTAAAGGACTTCTGGGCATTGCTTGGCTCTTCCAGGCCTTCCTGAGGTTCATCAGCAGTCATTCTTACACGCAATATACTCCCAAAGGTCAATTCAGTGTGATTTTGAGCAATTTTATGCACAGTTATTGCGCTATTGTTTCACTTTGTGTGCCATGGTTCCATCCTACAGAATCCTGGGATTGAAAGTATGGTAAGATACTAGAATCCCTTGTAATGGGTTTGTTTTAGGGAACCAGAAGTCAGGAATGCCTTCAAGACATACAACAACAACTACAGTAGCATGAGAGTGGTCTATCTGAGAATTCAAAATGTTGTTGTTTATTCGTTCAGCTGCTTCCTACTCTCCGTGACCTCATGGACCAACCCACGCCAGAGTTCCCTGTCAGCCGTGGCCACCCCCAGCTCCTTCAGGTTCAATCCAGTCACTTCAAGGATACCACCCATCCATCTTGCCCTTGGTCAGCCCCTCTTCCTTTTTCCTTCCATTTTCCCCAGCATGATTGTCTTCTCCAAGCTTTGCTTTCTTCTCATGATGTGGCTGAAGTACTTCATCTTTGCCTCTAATACTCTTCCCTCCAATGAGCAGTCGGGCTTTATTTCCTGGAGGATGGACTGGTTGGATCTTCTCGCAGTCCAAGGCACTCTCAGAACTTTCCTCCAACACCACAGTTCAAAAGCATCGATCTTCCTTCGCTCAGCCTTCCTTATGGTCCAGCTCTCACATCCGTAGGTTACTATGGGGAATACCATTGCTTTTACTATGCTGATCATTGCCAGTATGATGTCTCTACTCTTAAAATTCAAAATACCCCCCTCTAATATTGCCAGTCCCAGGCATCTTGTTATGGCTCTGAAAGAGAAATATAGTACAACAATTGTGCAGTCTGAATAAGTCTCAGGAACAATACAAGAGCACATCAACTACAAAACTCTTCAAATTCTATATATCTTCAGGGCAACCCATCCCAGTGGATCTCCTAAAGCTGCAGGGATGAGATCACACTTCCTATCCATACGCGGTGAAGTACAACGTTCCTCTTTGGCAGACAGAAAAAGGTTTTCTGTTGAGAGGAAGTTAACTACCCTCTTTTGCCTTTCAGATGTGTTTTAATATGTACACAATAAATCTAGAACTAGTTGCATAGACAAATAGGTGTGCACATTCCAAGGAAGCCAGGCAGGCAGGACAAACAACAGCTGCCTCTCCAGTTGAATTCCAGTTGAAGCCTGGACAGCAAAACACAAGCAAGATGAGAACAGGGAAGCCCCGCTCACTCACTACTTCAGTGTGTTAAAAGCACTGATCCATTTTGGCCACTAAAGTAGAAACGTACACTTCCTTTTACACCAAAACAGAGGCCAGCATAATTTTTTATGGACAGACTTCTTTACCTTGCAATTGCTTCATGAGAGGATCTAGACTGGTCTTTAGATTATAAAGCTCCCAGATCTTCAATTTCAGCTCTTCAGAGAAAGCCACTGGCTTCTCAAATGTTTTCTTCTCTTGACTCCTAGTGGGGGAAAAAACCAAGGTTTACCCATCACAGAATCCCTAAGTGGGGCAAAATCAAGGAAGTTACAGGAGGAAGAATATTCCAGAAGATTCAGCAGCCCTTCTATTTCTTTTCTTTTTCTAAATTGCTCCCAAAGTAATATGAGAAAGAGAAACAATATGCTCTTCCTGGCCAAATTAATCATCACGGGTGCTCATTCATGGCCATATATGATTGTCTTCTGGAAGTAGAGTCTTGGTGGTGGGGCCATAAATGACTGTAAAAACCTGTTCTAGAATCAATATAATGCAATAACATTTGTTTGGTTTCTAGGAAGTCCTGGAGTTACATATATAGCATCAGGAACATGGCATGTATACAACTCTTGCTCTCTCCCAGTATATGCCCACAAGCACAGAGATATATACTAACAATGGTAACTAAACTGTTCATTTAGTGTAGACTTATATTGAGTGAAATACACATAATACAAAACATACAATTACAATAGTAATGCTCTGTATAACAAAGTAGTTTCCAACTAAACAATGCATGTTCTAAACATAAACTTTCAGCTTGTAAAAACAATATGTTGACCGGAAGAGCACTGAGAACAGGGATAAGGGTATACTTGAAAGCAAGGCTAATCACTTAATCTTAGAATCATGGAATCATAGAATCCTAGAGTTGGAAGAGGCCTCATGGGACATGCAGTCCAACCCTCTGCCAAGAAGCAGCAAAATTGCATTCAAAGCACCCCCGACAGATGGCCATCCAGCCTCTGTTTAAAAGYCTCCAAAGAAAATGGAAAAGAGATCTGGTCAAATTCATTTGGAAAGGTTAAAAAAAAGCCAGAATTGCTTACAGGAACCTTATTGATGGGAAAGACAGAAGGGGACTGGCATTGCCAGATCTCAGACACTACTATGAAGCTGCAAATTTTAGCTGGCTAAAGGAATGGATTAGATTGGACAATAGGGAGTTGCTTAAGTTAGAGGGCCATAATTTAAGATACAGATGCATTGCCTATCTATGGAATGATATGGACAAGGAGATTAAAGAATTTAATGGACATATAATAAGAGCCAGCCTTTTAGCAATGTGGAAAAGGTACAAGAAGGGAATGGAGCCAACCCCCCCCCCAAAAAAAAAAACCCCGCTTATGGCTGTGCCAACTGCAAGCAATCCAGAATCCAGCTACACACGCTGATTCTGGCACATACAAGGATTATTTGGTGAAAGATAAAGGGCAATGGACATGTAAATGTAGAGAAGAATCTGAGTTAAAAGACTGGTTCAGCTTCTTTTAATTACATGACTGATTTAGGAAGGACGCAAAAGTAGGATTTGCCTCTAAAAATCAGAGTTGGAAAGTGTCTTTGAGAAGGGTAATAAAGGCCTAATATCCAGGCTCTACAAATATATTTTAGAACACAACCTAGTAGAAAACCAAATAAAAACTGTTATGATTACATGGGCCAAAGATTTAGGTAGAAATATTGATTTGGAAGAATGGGAACATCTTTGGGAAAAGGGGTTTAAATTTTCAGTGGTCAACAAAATTAGAAAAAAATGTTTAAAATGTTTTATAGAACTTACATAACTCCAGAGTTATTGGCTAAAATAGAGAAAACAGGACAAGGGGCTTCCTGGATATGTAAGAAGGAGAAGGGATATTTTTTCCATGAATGGTGGACCTGTAATATAGTTCAAGAATTCTGGAAAAATGTGATGAAAGAAACAAACAATATGATTAACAAAAAGGTCAAGAAAAACCCAGAAATGTGTTTAGAAGGTGTATTAACCCATACTTCAGGGTTTTGTCTAAGGTACTGTAAAAAGAGAGAAGAATGTATGTTTATACATTTTGTTGGACAAATTTATAAATAAAATCTTTAAAAATAAAAATAAAAATAAAATCCATACTTCAGGAAATAAAGCCCAACTATCCATTGGAGGGAAGGATATTAGAGGCAAAGATGAAGTACTTTGGCCACATCATGAGAAGACAGGAAAGCTTAGAGAAGACAATGATGTTGGGGAAAATGGAAGGAAAAAGGAAGAGGGGCCGACCAAGGGCAAGATGGATGGATGGCATCCTTGAAGTGACTGGATTGACCTTGAAGGAGCTGAGGGTGGTGACGGTTGACAGGGAGCTCTGGCATGGGCTGGTCCATGAGGTCACGAAGAGTCGGAAACGACTGAACAAATGAACAACAACAACATTAGCACAGGAGATTATGAAATTTGTCAATATTGCTTTGTTGCTGCAAGACAATAATAGCCAAAACATGGAAGGGGGCGGGGAAGAGTTAAGTATTAAGGATTGGAGAGACAAATTAGTAGATAATATCCAAATGGCCAAACTGACAAATAGCAGCAGAGGAGGAAATAATGAAGAATTTGCAAAAAAAAAAAAAAAAGGAGTTTGGCACTTGGGTATCTAGAAAAGAAGACAAAAGTAGATTTGAAGATAAAGGGGATTTAATGATAGAAGACATGTGTGTAGTTGTGGGTTAGTTATGTGATCCATATTGTTGGGTCGGAGGTCATGGGGGTCAGGTTCACGGGTGTGGGGTTAAAGGGACAATAAATGTTAAGGTATAATAACTACAATCAAAATTGATTTTTCATATGTTTAACAACAGCAATGACTGTATACCATTCTGTAAACTTGCTTGCTATTTTGTATATCATTTTTCTTTTATTTATTTTTTGTTTTTCTGTTGTCTGTTTCTTGTGCACACTATAATACATTTTTTTTGAAAGCCTCCAAAGAAGGAGCTTCTACTACACTCCGGGGCAGAGAGTTCCACTGTTGAACAGCTCTCACAGTTAGGAAGTTCTTTCTAACGTTCAAGTAGAATCTCATTTTTTGTAGTTTGAAGCCATTGTTACACATTTTAGTCTCCAGGGCAGCAGAAAATAAGCTTGCTTCCTCCTCCCTATGAATTCCCCTCACATATTTATACATGGCCATCATGTCTCTTCTCAGTCTTCTTTTCTTCAGGCTAAACATGCCCAGCTCTTTAAGCTGCTCATCATAGGGATTGTTCTCCAGACACTTAATTGTTTTAGTCACCCAGCTGGTTAACATCTCCTTTCAATTGTGGTACTCAAAATTGGACACAATATTCCAGGTGTGGTCTGACCAAGGTAGAGTAGAGGGGTAGCATGACTTCCCTAGATCAAGACACTAGACTCCTATTGATGCAAGCCAAAATCCAGTTGGCCTTTTAAGCTACCACATGACATTCTTGGCTCATGTTCACCTTCCTCCCCACGAGGACTCAAAGATCTTTTTCACACGTACTGCTGTTGAGCCAGGCATCATTCCCCAATCTGTATCTCTGCATTTCATTTTTTTCTGCCTAAGTGGAGTATCTTGCATTTGTCCCTGCTTAACTTCATTTTGTTAGTTTTGGCCCATCTCTGTTAAGATCATTTTGTATTCTGCTTCTGTCTCCTGGGGTATTGGCTATCACTCCCAATTCGGTGTCATCTGCAAACTTGATGACCATGCCTTCTAACCCTTCATTTCATCTAAGTCATTAAAAATATGTTGAATAGGACCAGGCTCAGTTCTTACTAATTTGTGATTTGCCAGTTTCATTAAATAATTATTTTAAAGGGAACGTTGTATTTTACAGACATTATGTTCTAAAGCGAAAAGACAAGACAATGCTTTAAAACTGTTACCACAAAAATGGAATTTGTTCATTTCATCCATGTCCGCATATGTAATTCTCTGCCTCTCTTTCTATCTCTGGGGGCCTTTAATATCTTTTAAAGTAATTTGATTCTAACATGAACTTCTGAAAAAAATTGCCCGGGATGTTCTTGTCTGCCATTTAAGGGCTCAAACAGCCTGACTACAATAGACAATGCTATGTTCTTGTTGTTTTATAATTTCTTCCATCAATTTCGTATCACATCATTTTCTGTGTGTTCCTTATTAGCATGCAAGCCACTGTTCATAGTAATTGTGTCAACGTTGCATACTTTAATCTCGCAAGACAGGCTCTTCCTTTTCTCTATGTTAGAGTCTAACATAATTACTGCCACTTCTGCCACTAAAGAAACCCTTTCAGAGAATGTTAAATCTCTTTAAACCAATTGATCTCTTACTTTCCAGGAATTTTGATCTACTACAGCTGCAACTGAGAGCACAACACTTGGAATCCTCTCTAGGTAATGTATCCTAAGGTGACCTTCTGTTACAACATTTCTGTGCACCTTTAGGGTTGTTGCAGAAAGAAGTAACCAGTACAATATTGTGCAAGGATCTCCCCACCTGTCCAGCCCCCATTTGATGGTGCCAGGGGGAATGTCCTCAGCCAATCAGCATCTGCAGAATCAGGAGCCTCCCAGCACCATTTGGATGCAGTTTAACAGCCAGGAAAAAGGAACTCTTGAAGTTATCCTTCCAAACCTCCAACATCTTGATTCACTGAAAGCCATCAAGCTGGCAATATACCACAGGGTATCAATGCAAATCCATCTGTGTCCCTGCCTGTTTTTGGAGCACGAATGGAAATGACTGGGATTCTCTTACCTGTGCAAAAGGCTCTTCACATCCTAGAAGGGAGAAGAGAAACAAAAGAGGGAAGTCACTGCTCATATATGACATTCTTTAGTGAAAGAAGAGGCAGTCCTTCCCTTTCAAGGGCTGTTTCTAGAACTTAAATTGGGAATAGTGCAATTGCTTGTGCAAAATACTATATACCTCAAAGGGCAACAGAGGAGAAAGGGAAAGTTCTTCTTTGAAATCTCTATTCCTTGCCTACAGATGGATGATCTCAGGTCTGGATTCCTTTCTGACAATTCCTAAGTGTTGCCAGTTTTCAAAAAAGCAGTAAGGAACTTTCAGAATTTAGGAAATACAGGTCTGACAATATGGAAGAAGACATTTGTCTGTTAAGACGTTTGTGTTCCACTGCAATACTAAAAGGACTTTTTTTTATTTCAGTGAACTTAGTGATGTGCTTCTCTGTAAAATTATCATATTACCTGCACCCATAAATGTTACCATGTGCATATTTCTATATTTGTGATGAGCCCACATCCAAATGTACAGGAGTACAGTGTTCCCTCACATATGCTGGGGTTAGGTTCCAGGACCTCCCGCAATAAGTGAAAAACTGCAATGTAGGGATACTCTGTTTATTTTAATATTTATACATTAGTTTAGTAGCTATACACTATTTTAAGTCTTTATAACCGGAAAGGAAGGAAAGGCCCTTCAAGGCTGGAGGGAGGGAGGACTGAGGAGGGAAAGTGCCTTGGAGAGCGGCAGTGGCAAAACCCCACAAAACAGTGAAAATACCATGATATATATTTTAAATTAATATTTTTTAAAATCTGCAAAACAGTGAGTATGCAATAAGTGAACCGCAAGGGGACGCTGTATATCAACCCTCAAATATGGGACATTTCTTACCACTTGGGACATATTGTAATCCAAACCCACATTCCACAACTACAGGAGTTTGATATCACCTTCATAGCCATCATTCCATCCTGCAAAGTTCTGGGATTCACATTATGGCAATGCTCTTGAGCTATAGTAGCAATTCTCTCTAGTAAGGAATTCTAACTCCCATGTTATAAACTGCAAATCCCAGGATCTCATAGGATGTTGCCCAGGCAGTTTAAATTAAACAAAATGCTGTATTTGTGTAGTGTGAATAAGCATCAGGACAGCCTCTATAACACCACCAGAACAGGTTTGAAATGAAGGCAGCAGCATTAATTAAAAAACAGTTCATAACTGTTTCTATATCTATGAAAAGAGGGATTTTGTAAGGTTTTGCTCATATAAGAAAGGTACTTCCAAAGTATATATTACAATAAGGGTAGCTCATAAAATATAGAGTTACTAAACAATCATTTCTTCTCTAGCTGCTCTAGTGATTGCAACTCAAGCTAGAGGGAACTAGGGAGTCCAAGGGAAGAAGGGCAGATGGCATCATAGTCCTTCCTATTAAAATATTCTGGGCTTGAACCATGAATGCCCTGGCTCCACTACACCATGGCTGGTACAACAACATTTTGTATTTGGCTTTCCATACAGAAGCACTTAAGCTTGTTTCGCCCAGTCTCACCTGCAGGAGTTCAGCTGGTGGCTGCTGACATTTCTCTTTCAACTCTTGGATGAGATTTTTCAAAGAGGAATGTTCTTGGTCAAACATGGCCAAGTTTTCATCTCTTTCCCTTGCAATCTGCTTCTTCATCTCTTCCATCCGTTTCTCCTGTTCTTCTAGAAACTGACGTATTTCTGTGATTTTTACTAAAATATTTTCCATCTCTGCTTCTGTCTGCTTCTGTAATAAGCAGATGGAAAGGGAAGGAAATGAGCCTTACTTTTGGGTAAGATTGCCAGAGCACAAACATTAAAAAAAATAAAGATTTCTCCTGACATTAAGTGTAGTCGTGTCCAACTCTGTGGGGTGGTGCTAATCTCCATTTCTAAGCTGAAGAGCCAGTGTTGTCCATAGACGTCTCCAAGGTCATGTGGCCAGCACAACTGCACGGAGCACTGTTTCCTTCCTGCAGAAGTGGTACCTATTGATCTACTCACATTTTAATATTTTCAAACTGCCAAGTTGGCAGAAGCTGGGCCTCACCCTGCTCCCCAGATTTGAACCGCCAACCTTTCGGTCGGCAAGTTCAGCAGCTCAGGGACTTAACCCACTGCACAACCAGGGGGCCATAGAGAGGTTCTATATCCCACTTTAATGGTTGTGTAGAAAAGAGAAATAAAACAAATGTTGCTAGCCAAACAGCCAGGTAACAAGGCACGTCTGCTAAATTCCCTCTTCTAATGATCATTGCATGCCTTCAGGTCACTTGCAACTTATGAAGACCTTAAGATGAACATATCACAAAGTCATGCATCACGTTCTGCAGTTGATGGTGTTTGGTGGTGGCAGGCTTAGCAGTTGGTGATGGAAGGGGTTAATGTAAGTCTTAGTTCTAAAGGGCTGAGTAATCTGTAAGAGTTTATGGGTGAAAGCAGTTAAGGGTGGAGGGATGCAAGGGATAGGTTGCAACTGGGTTTTACTGGTTATAAAGAGCTAGCCTGGAAATTGATCTTTGGGAGAAAAGAATTTGTGCTATTTTGGTGGTGGATGTGGCTGGTTTTCCCTCAGGTTTGTGGATTTTTTATATCCTGACCTGTCACCTGAACAGTTGGAACTCTGGAACTTTGAATCTCTGGACTGACTTTTGACTATGGTATAGAGCAGACTCTTGATCCTTGGACTTTACCCATTGAACTCTCTGTGTTTGACCACTGGATTGGACCCTTTGACTATGGTGTTCTCTTGAACCTGTATCAGCTTTGGTATCAGTCTTTGGTTTATATTCTGTGCCTTAGTGCTATGTTTATGTTTTACATTTGGTCTATGAAAACAGCCAAAAAGTAAGTGCTGCTTTAATTAAACAGTTTAACACAAGCTGGGTGTTTGTTTTGGTTCACCTCTGCCTGCATACCGGCAGAGCCCTGGCATTGTGACACACACAGCTTTCTTAACAAGATACAATCTGAATGTGGTTACACTCTCTCAGTCCCAGAGGAAGGAAAAGTTTATCTTGCCAAGATCAACCACTAGATTTCCAAAGCTTAGTGTGCAAACTAAATGTCTCCAGAACTGTAGTCCAACAATGAAACCTCTTTAAAACACAGAGTCATTGTACACCTTGTAAAACTATCACTCCCCTAATTGTTTACCATTGAGCCATGGCAGTCAATGTGGTGTCAAACTGCATTAATTCTACAGTCTTCCTCATGACTGATCGTCTTCACACCATCATGAGACATATATTGTAATAATGAATTATTCTAATATATGAAGCTCTCTTGTGACTCTTGATTTATCTGCATTTAATATTATGTTTCCACATATTGGATTAACTCTTGGTTCTAACGTTATTATATTTATATCTATACTTACAAGAACATCTTGGGTTTCCTTTTCTATCTCAGCTTTATATTCCAGAACCTTTTCTTCCACCTTCTCCAGAATAGTCTGATGATTAACCATCAAATCCTAAAGAGAAAAACAGATTCACATTTGGATGGAAGGTGGTGGAGGCAGAGGAAAGAGGGAAGAAAGAGACACAGAGAGAGGAGTTGAACAATATGCTTGCCCACTAACATTGGTTTTCGACAGTGCAGGAGAGTGTGTGCGTTTATCTCCTTGAAGTATTAAGCATGTGCAGATTCTACAGTTTAAAGTATTTAATGTGCAGTATGGGGTGGGCAATGGCACATCAGCAATAAAGCCATACATATTTCTATTTACCTCTGCATTAGAATAGGGAAACTTCTCTTTTTATATCAGGATATTTAAGGTTTTCCTTGGTATGTGTAAAAGAACGACGAGTGGATCCGAGGCTAATATTCCCTTTAACAGATCTCCTCCGATTCACCACGGTAATGAAGAATTAAGGACACACAAGTGGTTTTTACAGATGACAGGGGAGACACCACTCTGTCTCTAATCCTTCCTGTCAGACCACAAGGCGATTCAACATGTGTGTTGTTGTTGTAACGTGCGTGTGTACTGTTTGGTAAGCTGCCACCACCTCAAAGTTAAATTATGAGGAATTGTTTGACTGGAACTCCTGAGGTGAATTCTCCCAATACACTGCATCTTTCTTCTGGCTCCTTATGAAACATGACTGGACTGTAAATGGGTATAGAATTGTTAACCCTGAGGCTATATAAGAAACCAAGGCTGAGGCTAGTTAACAATTAAAATATTGACTGAGTTTACTGAATAACATGAGGTAAACAACAGACTACTACGAGGCACAATAAGCTTAATTGGTTTCTAAAGCACAAACTTCTTCTTAAACAAGACAGTTTCTTCAGGATGGGTTACTTTCCTATGCCTGGAGCTAAATTTCTCTTCACTCTACCCTATTACTATGTAGCAGTGAAGTTCACCAGCCAATTTCCCCTGGCTGTCACACAGAGTCTCTACTCTGCCACCTGAGAGATAATTCCCACTTGTACTATGCCTTAGCACAAGTAACAGGCTCTCACTCTGACTTTCCTAGCCAGATTCCTGTGAAGATCCCTGTTTTAAACTACTCTCCTTCAGGCTAGCTCCTGAGAAGATGTACCACTATTCCTTGACTGAAATCCTAACCTCTCTTCCCTCTGAACTAATCTTGCTTCGTTCAAGATTACATTCTTTCTCCCCTTTCTGTCAGAGCTAGCAAGCTACTTAACTCTCCTACAACTCCTCCCCCTTGAGTCAGACCCAATCAGAAGAGAGTTGACTCCTCCCCTCACCTCTCTGCCTTTCCTAACATGGGTGCCAGCCTACTGTCTGCCAGGCTGCGGCCTACGGAAAAGGTATGAGTTCATGACAGTATGCTACACATAAGAGACTGGCAGCCAATTCAGCAGTGTTTCAAAGCAGCTACAAGGCAGGATAAACAGCAGTGAGAATTATTCTTTCAGACTTTTCCAACCAGTTCCCTCCAGGTTGATATATATATATCGAGTCCCCCCTCGGGGGTTGAGAAGGGCGGGGTAAAAGTAACTGAAATTATATATATATATATACACACACACACACACAATCGTATAATGAAAACGTTACTAGACTTTTAAAAAATGTCTCAGCTTTACTGTACTCTTGTTGTAATGTTATCTGCAACAATTGTATATTTGTTTTATATAGTTTTTAATCTGTTTGTTTGACTGATACCTGTTTTAGATTTTTTTTATGTTTTGATGAGATATGATTTATTGTTTACCTGTGCGGCATTGAATTTTTGCCGGATTTGTAAGGCACCTTGAGTCCCCTCTGGAGTCAAGAAAAGCAGGGTAGAAATGAAGTAAATAAATAAATTTGAACAATGTTCTTGTTATTTGCCTCTCAAACCAACTCTGACCTATGCCAAACCTATACTGTCAATTTCATCACATTTATTAAATTCCACTGAATCATACACTTCAGAAATGGTAACTCACTGTGTTCATCACATGTGGTTGAGTTCAAGTGTAGAGTCCAGCATTCTTTCCATATCTAAAACATTGGGAACAACTATCTTTTCATATGTTTTAAGAGCTGGTTGGGAGGTGCGTTTTTGATTAATGATCCAGTTGTATATGCACAAAATAGCCAATTCTGTAATGTGATGGCATTCATTGTTCTCAGGTTTAAAATGATACGTTTACCCAATTTGTGGAAATGCTCCTTTGAGGAAAAAAGTGGTGGTGGCCTCCGAATAACTGACCTGGACTAAACTTGACACAGAGAAGCCCGATGACCAACTGCAGGGATTTGGGGTGGGGGACTGACCTTGATTACCTGTCCAAACATATCTCCCTCTATGAACCATCTTAGAGATTAAGGCCCTGGTCTCAGTCCCACCTCCTTCGCAGGTGCAAAGCCCTTTGGCTATGGAACCCCAGTGAGATCAGAACAGCCCCTTCTCTTCTGACCTTCAGGGGAAAAAACTTAATACATAGCTTTGGGATCAAGCTTTTGGCAAGTAACTGGAGCAGTGCAATAAGTGACCAGGAATCAGTGTGATTGACAAATAGAACAGCCCTGGATTATGTTTTGGGTGGTGTGATTTTAATTGATATTTTAATAATTCATGTTTTTTTGTTTTAATTGTAATTGTTTATTTTATGTGTGTATGGCATCAAATTGCTGCCTGTTGTAAGGCTTCCTTGAGTTCCCTCTGGGGTGAGAAAGGAGGGGTATGAATATGGCAAATAAATAACTTTAAAAAATGGAAGTTGTAGTTCGTCTGCATTCAGAGATACTGTAGCCCCCACCAGCAATGGACCGGGACTAAACTAGGCACAGAAAACGCCCATGACCAACTGAATGTGCTGCAGGGGTTTGGAAGCATGTTCAGTCCTGCCTCTTTCCCCCCTTTCCTCCCCACTCCTCCTTGTCTTGCCCTTTTCATTTATTGGAAATGGACAGAGAGTTGGGGAGCTCTCCTTTAATTGAAGGGAAATGCTGGAGGAAAAGGGGGGCGTCGGATAAGAGCATTGGATAAGACAGGATGTCGGATACACGGAGGTTAGATAAATGAGACTTTACTGTAATCTATCTATATATATATAATAAAAGTGAATGTTTGTATGTTTGCATGTATGTAAGTTTGTATGCAGCGGTGTATGTGGCAGCTTTCTGATTGGCTCCCACTTTCACAGACCACTGCGACCAACACAGGTGATGGACCTGGACCAAACTTGGCACACATAACCCCCATAACCTCCTTTATGCCCTGGTAAGGTTTGGGGGAGGACACACAATGGATGATGGGATTTGTAGTACTTTCAAACCCTTTGGTTCCCACAGACAACTGTGGCCCCCAACAAAGACCGATAAAGACCAAACTTGGCACACAGAGCCCCCATGATCCATTCTACATCCTGGTGCTGTTTGGAGGAGGGTGGACCATGGATGATGGGACTTGCACTACTTACACTCACTTCCTGAGACCACTGTGACCCTCATCCAATGACTGATCAAGACCAAACTTGGCACACAGAGCCCCCATGACCCCACTCTACATCCTGGTGCAGTTTCAGGGAGGATGGACCACAGATGATAGGACTTCAAGTATCTTCACTCACTTCCCGAGACTGCTGCAACCCACATCCAATGACTGATCAAGACCAAACTTGGCACGCAGAGCCCCCATGGCTTATTCTACATCCTGGTGCTGTTTGGAGGGGGATGGACCAGGGATGATGGGACTTGAAGTACCTTCACTCACTTCCTGAGACCCCAGCAACACTTATCAATTACCAATAAAGACCAAACGTGGTACAGAGAACCCCCATGGCCACCTCAACATTCTGGTGTGGTTTGGGGGAGGATGGACTATGGATGATGGGACTTGCAGTACCTTCACTCACTTTCTGAGACCACTGCCACTCTCATCCAATGACTGATCAAGACCAAACTTGGCACACAGAGCTCCCATGACCCATTCTACAACCTGCTGCAGTTTGGAGGAGGATGGACCACAGATGATGGGACTTGAAGTACCCCCACTCATTTCCCGAGACAGCTACGACCCTCATCCAATGACTGATCAAGACTATACTTGGCACACAGAGCCCCCATGACCCACTCTACATCCTGGTGCTGTTTGGAGGAGGATGGACCACAGATGATGGGACTCACAGTACCTTCCCTACCTTCCTGAAACCATTGTGAGCCACATAAATAACTGATAAAGACCAACGTTGACACACGATGCCTTTCTCAAATAACGCAGGCACCGCCGGGTTCACAAGCTAGTAATAAACATAATAACAAGTGCATAGGATCTTGCTTTTTTCAAACCACATTCTGTCCCACCAACAATCCTGGGGGGGCTTGAACCACCACTCAACTTAAAAAGTTTGAGGACCCCTGTTGAAAAGAATGCAATATTTCCCGTTACTGACATCTTAGAAGCAAAGGTGACTCTTGTTTACTATCATATGTACCCATTTTGGAGTAACTTTTTTTTTTTAGAAATCTGTAAGAATTTCTAATATGAGTGACTCTTTTTCTTTCATCAAATTACATAACAGTTTTTAGTTGTTGTTTTTTACCTTGGTTTCTTGAGCAGCTTCCTCCATAGGAATCACTGTATGACTTCTGTGCTCCTTGGATCTGTCGCACACGACACAGATGGAGACGTCATCATCTTTACAGAAAAGCTTCAGTGGCTCCTGGTGCTTCCCACAGACTCTCCCTTTGCCTTCTTCCCTCTTAGGTCCCTGAAAGTTGAGTTTCTTGGCTATTTCTACCATGTTAGCTAGCAGCCGATTTGGCCTGAGGTTGCTTTGCAGGACTTCTTTCCTGCACTGAGGACAAGAAGTTTCTGAGTTACCCGACTTCTCCCAGCACTGTGTCACACAATGTCGACAGAAGTTGTGCTCACATTCTAAAGACACAGGATCCTTGAAATATTCCAGGCAAATAGAGCAAGTGGCTTCCTCGCAGAGATTCTCCATGGGATCCTGAGCATCAGAACCAGCAGCCATGTCTGTCTCAGAAAGAACACAGTCAGTTTCATTTCCCATGCAAAAGCTTTGCCTTTTCGGTAAATGAGTCATTCAGCATGATGACAAAACTACGTTACAGAACCAGAACACACCCAAGAAACATCTTCTAAACAATGGGACGTTCTCTCCTGGAAAGAGAAGAAAAGACAGCAAATGAGAGAAAAGGGAAGTTTATTTGAAAAAGCGTTAGTGTTCCATTGCCTGGGTAGAGGCCAAAAAGGGGCACTAGACAGAGAAGGATAGTCCATTTTAGAGGGGGGGGAGGGTTGAAGGAGTAAAACAATTTCCCCCAATTTCCCCCATGTTGCCATCGTGGAAACAAACCTTGTTTATGAAATGGGAAGTAGTAGGTAGGGGGAATAAACAGCCAAAATAATAGCAAGCCAGCCAGGGGCCCCTGCCTTGAAACCGATCTGACCTGCAGCAGGGAATTCCGCAGATCTCCATTGCCCGCTTGGGCCAGCATCCAAGGGAATGTGGCCACAGCAGCAGCTTCAACCAAAGACTCTCTTTCTGCTTTACTTTCTTCCGCTACCTAACATTGTAACAAATCCCCCCAATAAAGTATCAATTAATTGTAATTTCCCCCTCTCTATAGTGTTATTTTGTGTCCTTTACTGCCTCCAGACCATTCTCTGCATGAACTTTCTCTCTCCAGATGGCTGCCGATTCCAGCATCCTGGGGAGGCCGAAACTGCGTTCCTCTGAACCATGGATACTGAAACCCATTGGGTCCCCGTATCCACACGTCAACGGATCACCCCAAAATCGGTGCCATTCTTCTCCTAGACTAATTTCAAGATTAATGGCTACCTCACTTTTGCTCCTCTAACCTCTCTGCCCCGAGAATAACCCTTTTTGCCCCCCAAAACTTAACCTGGAGCCCAGCTGGCTCCCTGCTGCCAAAACATCGTTGCTGCCATCTTGTTGATGCCTGAAGAGCCTGTTGACCTGGGGAACCTGCTGCGGCCACCCCTTGGGACCTCCAGGAAGCCAACGGGCCATCCCGGTCCTTGATGAGATGGGATCTTCAGTTTTCTCAATGTTCTTACGTGGGTCTCGACCTCCAGCACTGGTAGTAATCTCATAAGGACTTTTTTGACTTGGGTGATGTACCAAGAAGCACCACTAAAGCCTTGACAGACCGTGCAAAAAGAATCTGTGAACCCCACCTCCTCCAAGATGAACTGAACCACCTCAATTGGGCTCTACAGACCAATGGATACTCCACCTCAGACATCAGAAGAGCTGCAAGACCGAGAACAAGCCACAAGAATCAAGACAAAGATCCACCCAGAGGAAAAGTGTTCTTGCCATACATCAAGGGAACCACTGACCGCATAGGGAAGCTGATGAGGAAACACAACATACAAACTATCTACAGACCCACCAAGAAAATCCAACAAATACTACATTCAGCAAAGGACAAGAGGGATCCTCTTCCTTCTGCAGGAGTCTACCGTGTACCATGCAGCTGTGGACAAGTCTACATAGGGACCACCAAATGCAGCATTGCCCAAACACAAATCAAGGAACATGAAAAGCACTGCAGACTACTTCAACCAGAGAAGTCAGCCATAGCAGAGCACCTGATGAACCAACCTGAACACAGCATATTATTTGAGAACACAGAAATGCTGGACCACTCTCACAACCACCATGTCAGGCTACACAGAGAAGCCATTGAAATCCACAGAAGCATGTGGACAATTTCAACAGAAAGGAGGAAACCATGAAAATGAACAAAATCTGGCTACCAGTATTTTTTTTAAAAAAAACTCTAAAATTACAACAGCAAAACAACAGATAGGAAACAATCTGGGACATCTAATCACCTCTCAACAAAAGATTGCCCCAGGCACTGCCAGGCCATCAAATGCTAATCAAGGTGGTCAGTTGAAACATTCACACCTAGCTCCAGCAGACAAGTCCTTTGTCCCACCCTGGTCATTTCACAGATATATTAACCCTTTTTCCTAATTCCAACAGCCCACACTACTTCTGAGGATGCTTGCCATAGATACAGGCAAAGTGTCAGGAGAGAATGCCTCTAGAACATGGCCATACAGCCCAAAAAAACCTACAACAACCCAAATATTTTTCTGTTCATTTTTCCTCTTGCTTGTGTGTCTTTTGCATGGGATGTTTGCTAGAATCCGCTTGCTGCACAACAACCACCTCCAAACCATGACAGTGGTTGCAGTTGGCCATGTTGGGTCTGTGTGCCAAGTTTGGTCCAGTTGGCTGAGTTTAGTGCTCTCTGGATAAGGGTGAACTAAAACTCCCAGATAACCAGGGCAATCACCCCCAAAGCCCACCTGTATGCACAGTTGGCCATATTGGGTCTGTGCATCAAGTATTCTCCAGATCCATCGTCAGCTGGGCTTAGTGCTCTCTTAATAAGGGTGAACTACAACTCCCAGATTCCCAAAGCAATCACCCCTAACTTCTGACTGCATGCACAGTTGGCTTTATTGGATTTGTGTACCAAGTTTGGTCCAGATCTGATATCGGCTGGGCGGACTGTTCTCTGGATAAGGGTGAACTACAACTCCCGTAATCAAGGTCAATGCCCACAAACCCCTGCAATATGTTCTGTTAGTCATGGGGCTTCTCTATGCCAAGTTTGGTTCCAGTCCATTGTTGGTGGGGGTCACAGTTTCGCTGGATGCAGGTGACTGATAATTCCTTTAAATCAAGGTCAATGTCCTCCAAATTTATCCAGTATGCTCTGTTGGTCATGGGGAGTCTGTGTACCAAGTTTCATCCAGGTCCGTCATTCATGTGGGTATCAGTGATCTGTTGAAGTTGGAGCTGAATCAGGTAAAGGTACTGCAAATCCTATTATCCATGGTTCATTCTCCCCCTATTGGCTTCAGGACATGAAGTGAGCCATAGAGCATCTGTATGCCAAATATGTTCTCAGTCCATCATTTGTGGATGTTGCAGTAGTCTATGGGAGCCAAATTGGGTGAATGTACTGCAAATCCCACTGTCCTCCCCCAATCCACACTAGGATGTAAAATGAGTCGGGGGGGAGGGGGTCTGTGGGCCAAGTTTGGTCTTGATCTGTCATTGGTGTGAGTCACAGTGGTCTGTGGGAGCTGAAGTGATTGAAAGTACTACATATTCCATCATCCATGGTTTATCCTCCCCCAAACTTCACCAGGCTGTGAGGTGGGTCATAGAGCATCTGTGTGCCAAATATGGTCGAGGTCTGTCATTCATAGGGGTCACAGTTATAGTTTCCAAAGTTCCATGCTCTTCTCTTGATGCATTTACACTATGGAATATATACTCTTGGATCCCACTTTAAATACCATAGCTCCATACTATGCAGTCCTAGGAGCTATAGTTTTCAAGGTCCACACCCTTATCTGTGGGGCAGCCAAAAGGGAGAGGGAGGGGAGGGAGGGAAAGGGAAGGAGGGAGACACACACACACACACACACACACACACAGAAAGCATCATCACTGCTTTCCCTCCCTCCAGATTTTCAACCACAAGCAGGTTCAGGGGTCCAAGAAGAAGCATAGGGCAAGGATCCATGAATACCTAGGAAAGAGTCTCGGTATCAGCAGGAAAGACAAACACAGTTTCTGGGTTAGTGGGGCAAAGGTTGGGTTATCTAAGGACAAACACTAAGGCAATGAATGGTGAGGGAAAAATAAGGGGGAAAGATGGTTCTGCTTCATGTCGGGACCCCTGAGGTGGCTGGAGGGTGACAAAGGCCTCCTGGGTAATTGGAGAAAGGTTAGTTTTGTCAGAGTGATGCCCCTGGGTCATGCACAGAGTACTTGAGGTTTTCAGATCAATTATCTCACTGAAGACTTCTTAAGTTTCAAAAAAAAACAACAATAAACTTTACTGGAAGCATATATACAAGCGGCTACATCTTGATAGCTGAAAATGGCGACTGACAAAGCATAGCAAGAAAACACACAGTGAACGAGAGATCTGCCCTTCTGTCTTATCTATGTTCTGGCTGGTGCACTCCCTAGTTTTTCTCAGGGCAAAGGAATTTTTGTTATTACAGTTTCACTGTCTGGCCTGTAACTTTGTAACAATAACAATTTGCTGCACATGAGAACAATAACTGAACATGACTGAGTCCATCTTAAAACATAATACTAACACATTGAAAAACATACATAAAATACTTGCCATTATACTGACAAGTTTGGGGAAGGGGAGATAATTATGTCTGTTGTGGGGGCCGCAGTGGCCACAGTAGGCTGTGGGCCATGTGGCCCGGGCTGCTGCCAGCCCAAGAGAGGAGTGCGGAAGTGGAAAGAGAAGGACTCAGCAAAGCGAAAGGAGAAGCATGGAGACAAAAGCTAAGGAAAACATAGTTTATAAGAGGTTAAATTAACCAAAAGGGAGAATATTGGCTCAGAAAAAGCATCCTGGATGCTGGTACCTGCTGCTGCGCTCCTCCAGACCTTGGGATGTTTGCACAATTCATTATTTTAAAAAATAAAACCTGCAGTAACATGTGGAATGTCTAACTTTAGACATTCAATAATTTGATCCAGGGGCGGGTCTGCAGTTGATATCAAAGGGGGACACAATGATCACATGACATCAAGGTAAGGGTGAACCCAAGCCATAGCCTTTACCAGCTGGTTGCACATTTTGGTCTTCTTAGGCTGGATTTGTTAAGGCAGATGTTTTGGCCTTCAACTCTGTCCGGTCCTTGAACCGGTGCTTGGCCGCTGCGTTGGACTGGATGAGAGTTAACAAATTGAAATTGAATCCAGACAAGACAGAGGCCCTACTGGTCAGTTGTAAGGTTGAACAGGGCATAGGGTTACAGCCTGTGTTGGATGGGGTTACACTCCCCCTGAAGATGCTGGTTCGCAGCTTGGGAGTGTTCTTGGACTCATCACTGAGCCTGGAACCCCAGGTCTCGGTGGTGGCTGGGAGAGCTTTTGCACAATTAAAACTTGTGCGCCAGCTGCGCCCGTACCTTGGGAGGTCCGATCTGGCAACGGTGGTCCATGCTCATGTTACATCC